ATTATGTCGCTGGTAATATATTTACTTGTTTGTAGAAGGACTTCTTTGGCGGGTTGGTTCAAAGAATGACTACAACAAGGGTTTAAATGCATGTTAAGTGACATTATGTCGCTGGTAATATATTTACTTGTTTGAAGAATGACTTCTTTGACGGGTGTGTTCAAAGGACGATTATATCATGGTAACGGTCTTAAATGCATGAGAGTGGCTATAGATGCATATATATAATTATAGCAAGTGTATATTTACTCACGGGTATATATACTTTAGTATAACCTGGTAGAATGGGTGTTCGGTGGCTGGTACAATAACGGCCAATGGCCTGTTTAACTGTTGATATATTAAGAGTGTTTGAGGCTGAGTAAAGCTAAAGTACAATTGTCTGTTTCATACTCAGCGCATGCAGAGGGAGATCRGTGAACTGAAGGCRTCCGTTAAAACGCTCACCACCAGATCAGTGGACGGGGAATTAAAGAAGTTCCTGGCATACGCAGCGAGACCTTTATCCGAGTTCAAGAACTATGAGGCCTTAGAGATGGTAGAAGTCGTCTGGAAGGTTGCGCATGACAACAACCATGCCAAGGAAGGATACTACCGCCTAGTGTATGAGACGGCGCGATCGAAAGTGAGCCTCCAGAGCGAGTATTTCCGAGATCTCCTCCTGCGTCTGATCGGGGACAAGGAGCACGAAAAGGTGTTCGATACGGTGGCTAAGATTGAGAAGAACATGCAGAGGAGGGCAAGAGCAGGGCAAGAGCAGGGCAAGACCGCTTAAGTGGTACCTCGCCATTGGGATCAAGTCGTCCCCGTCAATCGGCCGCAGGACGAGCGCACTGTTTCTATTGCCAGAAACCGGGCCACTTCAAAGCTCAATGTTATAAAYGAGCTGCTGACAACAGAGAAAAACGAGATAAGAAAAACCTGCCTTCCAGCAATGCCTGAGATGGCCTATATGTGTCTGAATATGGTGTAATGATATTGAAATTGAAATGCATCTTGAGAATAAAATTAGGCGTAGTTTATTATTTGGTTTAATTTTGTGTCTTATATCCTTAATACGCAGTAATGCATATATGTGATCGGGTTAATCGCAGTTAAGAGGCCGAGGTTTTCAACGCGTTTACATAAAAAATAGATAATATAATGGCTGAGTAGTCTAAGAGTGGTAATAGCTTTGAAAAAAGGGTCCCTAAAGCA